CTTCTTCTTCTTCTTCTTCTTCTTCTTCTTCTTCTTCTTCTTCTTCTTCTTCTCATCATCAGAAGGGCGACGATATGACCACAGTACAGAAAACTTCTCATTATTTCACCAGCCACAGATGGCTCTCCTTGAATCTCCCTCGCCCCTACCAATCCCCCCTCCCTCAACAAAACCACACTTTGCTTTCACCTCATAGGTTAAGAAAAGAAGAAAGAAAAAAGAGAAAAGGAAAGAAAAGCCTCAATGTGCCAGTCAATTCATCATTATTCATTGGACAATCTTGAGACCCCTCGGCCACTTGACAAAACAGCTTTTCAGGCATATTGAGTTGACAAAACAGTCTATCAGGCATATTGAGTTGACAAAACAGCCTATCAGGCATATTGAGCAGACCCTTCAGTTCCCTGATAGGGGCAAGCCACAGAATTCTACACAGAATTCTACACAGAATTCTACACAGAATTCTACACAGAATTCTGTGGGGCAAGCGGACATTTGCGCCTGATTATGTTTGTGGTATCGAGGCCAATGGTATCGAATACTTCTACATGCTGTCAGTTTGTTTTATTTAGTTTGTTTGTTTGTTTGTTTGTTTGTTTGTTTGTTTGTTTGACTAAAAAGGAGCACATGGACGCAATAATGATCATTTTGTGTTGAGAAAATGTAAGCCAGGTCGACAGAAACAACAGAGGGGAGGCAAAGAACTAAAGGGCGGATACATTAATTCATTTTTTTAATGAACGATGGATTATACAAGCAAATCACTTGGCTGTGAAAATAAGTTCAAGAATTGTCTCCTATGATTTTTAAAATGGATGAATTTTAATCAATATAATTTCCGAAAAAAATAAATCAATAAATAACCAAAAACAGTCTCGATACTTGGCAAACGGAAAAGGTTTACAAGCCCAACAAACATAAGATTACTCGGTTACCATCGAACACGCTAACAGAGAATCGATACTAACAAAGAAAACCGGCGCAAATTTCCCCTTCCCCGAGTTAGAACCAAAGATCGTACAGCCTACGGTAGGGTGTAGTATCTTTGGTAGAACTAGCCTAATCCTGGCCAGATACGCCGTGCAGTGACCAACTAAGTTGGTGTATAGGGCGTGCCAATTAAGCTTATCACCTTATCGCCCAGTCCCCGTGCCCTATCGCTGTGGTGTACACAATCAGTACCTCGACGACAAACACACCACTTTGTGGGAGGGGGTTTCTGGGGCTCTTTTCACCAGCCCGCTCCTATCCAGCCCCCCTCCTCCTCTCTCTTTTTGTCCCCATTCCCCCCACCCTCC